CGTGAACTAAAACCTTTTGGGAATTTTTAGTGCCGGCACTTGAAAATCCACAGTGCGCTGCGTGTTGCCTACTTTTGTGCGACGAATGTAGAAAAATCTAGATTTAGTTGCTCAGCTGTTTTTTTTTCTATTGTTGACATCAATGGAAAAGAAAAACAAAACATAGTAAAATAATAATAATAATCATTATATTATTATTTATTAATAATTAATTGATATTAATTTTATTAATAAGCATAAATATATAAATATTAAAAAAATATATTTTTTTGTTGCTGTAAAAGTGCTTCATAGACTGCTGCACATGCGCTGTACGAATGTCTCTACTTTGACTTCACTCACAGTTTTCGCCAGGTTTGTTTCTTCCAACCACCTTTTGCAGTTGAAGAAAGTGTGTTTCGTAGCATCCATTGCATTTTCGCAATAAATACAGTTCGATTTGGCCATTTTTACCCATCTTAATTGGGTACTTTCGAAAGTATCCATGATCGGAGAGCAGTAGAAAGAGGTGCCGCCGTGCTTTCTATTTATCCACTGCTTAAGTTCGGAGATTATTTTTGTTGTTTGCTCATGGTTATCTGTGCCGAGAATTCTCCACTTTGCCGCATATTCCACATCTTCTTACGCTCTTGGGCAATCAAGTGACGGTAACGGCAGCGCCAGAGACTGTGCGATACGCCGATGTTACCCTTAAGACTGCTCGCACCTCTATCATTAATATTAATTAATAATCTTAAGTTACTATTTTGAATTTGCACTCACACACACATACCTACGCATTGGCAGTAGTGCTGGGACGTGTATAAAATAGATGAGGTTTTTAATCCATAACGATACTCTCATAAGAACAGATAGATGGATAGACTGACAGGACTAATCCGACTCAGCTCGTTGCCCTGATCATGAATATATATTCACTTTACGGGGCCTACCACGCCCACCTCTACTTATTATATATCCATATATATATATATATATATATATATATCTATACGTGCTCGCCACTGTAGGCAAGATCTGTTATTGACCCGGGTCTGTTGGAGTAATTATGTGTGATTCGGCACTTCGAGCACAAACATTATTTATTATGTAATAATATTTGTTAATTCAATGTTTTGCCAATAAAAAAACAATAAAAATAGAAAATAAATATACTTAATTTCAATTATAATAAGCTCATCATTATTATACTATTATGTTTCTTGATACCAAGCTAACTGGTTGCAGCTGCAGCAGTAGCAACAGCTGGCTGGTGTTGGATCGAGGGCTGGAGGGGAGCCGCGTTACAGCTCAGCGCCTCTGCTTGGCTGCGGCATCAGTCAATGGACTCCGCTGAGCTGCGGTCTTTGCGGCGCGGTGGCTTTGTCAGTCAAGGTCAAGTGGGCGTGGCCCGTAGTCACCCGTGGCCAGGCATCGTCAAAACATCTACAGATCAAGTGTCATAATTAAGGCCCCGGGGGAGGGGTTGGCAGAAACACGTGAATTAATGCAGCAATTGATTGGGCTAAAAGCAGTCAGCCTGAAGGCTGAGGGAGCAATTGGTCAGCTAAAAGCTGTACACGAAACACCGAACGGCGTGCTAAACAAATACCTACACTGACACACACACACACACACACACACACTCACACACCTTGTCTTGGCATATTGGGATTCCCTCGATCGATTAGATCGAAAAAGTCAATTATCAAAGTTAATTAAAATGAATTTTTGTATTCGTTATTTATATCATTTCGATTTGATTTCTAGAGAATCGCATGTTAATCCAAGACCAGAGAAAATATTGCCATATGTTAGTTACTTAGCGACTAGCAGCAACACGTTTCGAGCCCCACTCGCGATAGCGAGGTAAATCAAACCGTCGGCCACTTGAAGCTGCTGTAGCCCCTGCCCGACCCCAACGCCCCTTGACGCGCCTCTGGCACCTCTTAGCCTCATTTGCGTTAGACCCCAAAATAGTAAACAAAAAGTGTTAACGATGTGAATGCCGCTCATATGCAAAAACTTACCAAAAGCGACCAAAAATAATTGGAAACTTCAATAGCAACAGACATTGACGTGCTGACAATTAATATAAAACGACAACAATTTGCACAATAGATATATATATATATAAATATTTGACATATATACATATACATATGTATGTGTATATACATCTACGGATGAACATTTATTTGTATAGACTCAGTCAAGCGGGTTTCTGCGTATGCATCTTAAAACTCGTGCCAATAGACTCGGCAAATTTGAGCACGGGTATGTGACTGATATGAAAAGAAAGCAGATAAAACTGCTGCCAAGGGGAAAAAAGATTGCCAATTGCGGATACGAAAAATCAAGGTTTACATAAGAAATGCTCAAAAATATATATTAAACTAATATTAATTTTTTTAAATATTCGCGTAGTTGAAATTTATATATATGTATATATAAAATATATATTTATAATATTTTTTTTGTTAAATTAATATATATTTTTGCAGCATTATTTATATAAAAGACAGTAAAATTGTATTTAGAGTAATTAAATATATGTAAATAATTTGCATTAGATTTAATGTAAATTTTTTGTATCGTTGCTTATATAAAATAAAGATGTAGCCGAGTCCCGTGAAAAAAAAAATCGTATTCGATAATTCTTTATAATTTGAATTTGTGTGTAAATAAAAAAAAAAAAATTAAAATAAATAAATAAATTAAAAAAAAAATAATAATAATAATCCATTTCGTATATATATGTATAAATATATAATATATATAATATATACGAATTTAACATATTTATATATATTTATTTTTAATGTTTACCATTTTATTTATGCCAAAGTACAAATTTAATTCACAAGCATTTTACCGGCTAATTGCTAGCTGAGCCCATGCCTTTGTCTGTGGGAATTATCTTTTCGCAATAGACCCAGAGAAATTAAGGTCTATATGAAGTTTATGGCTCGACTTATATAGATTTTATATAGGTGTTTACTCTTTATGCATATTTATATATTTATTTTTTGTTTTTGAGAGACAATTGCAGAAGCTACCGCTGCTGCTGCTGCTGCTGCTGCTGTTGCTGCCGCCGCCGCTGCTGGTATTGTTGTTGCTGCAGTCGCAGCTCTCTCGCTCGCTTTATCGCTCTCGCTGCCGTCGTTGTCGCTGGCAAGCTTGGATCTGAGTGATCGACGCTTCGCTTTCCGCGGCATGCCGCATACCGCATGCCGCCCCCGTAGCGTCGTTGCGTCGCTGTCGCTGCGACGTCGCGTCGCTGGCAGCGCTTACCGTGTGCCGCCTAGCCGACGGCACTCACTAAATTCAATACAAAATTCAGTCGCTGATTTCAGCTCAACACCGCTGGTCTACGTTTACAGTACAGCTCGTTAACAAAGCCCTGCAGAAAGAAAATAAACCCAACAATAGACAATAATACACTGTCACGTCTGTCATGCTGTAGTTGTTTGTTGCATGCAAAAATACAAAAAAAAAAACAAAACAAAAAAATTAATAAAGAAAATAAAAGAAAAACTCTGAGCAGAAATCAAAACAAAGACAAAAACGCATCCTAGCTGTGATCATTGATCGAGGAATTGAAATACTACTTATTCAAGAGATAGTTGACTAAAAGTGAGTTTACCATGAGTGTGTGTGTGTGTGTGAATCTCTATGTGTGTGTGTGTGTGTGTATGCCTTTTACTACTACTAATTTCATTAGAGACATATAAATTAAATCAAATTCGCGTTTGTCGTGAAATTTGTTTGCGCTCGTTTATACAACGCTGACGCTCAATGTGTGTGTGTGTGTGTGAGTGTGCGTGTGTGTTTGACAATACAAAATGTAGCATATTGTTATTGTTGTCATTCATAGTTGATGTGCTTGCGTGCCCGTGGCATGCAACAAAATTACTAACTACAAATTGTTCACATTCATAATATTTATGTTACGCGCAGTTATTTTTTTTTTTTTTTACCTCCGCCTCGATCTCTCTCTCTCTCTCTATCTATCTTCTTCTTTTTACTATTTATGTATATTTGTATTTTTTTTTGTTTTTTTTTTTTTTTTTGTGTTTTTGTTTTGTTTGCTTTTTTAGCCTGTCATTGCCTAGATTAATGATATATAAATTTATATATGTGAAGATCATAAGTTTGGCTTTTAGTTTTGTGTGTCATTAAGTTTTTGTTGATTTCCTTTTAGTTTTTATTTTGATTAGCTTAAATTCGGTGCTCATTTGGAATTCATTTTTCTCTTCTCCTCTTTTTTTTCTCTACTGGGTTGGGGATTTTTGTTTTCAGCTTTGATTGCCAAATTAGTGTTTAGATTTACAATGCCACGTCCAGCTCAAGCTCTCATTTCAGTGAGGCTTTTTTTGCCTTTATTTATTTATTTTTATTTCTTTTATTATTTTTTTCTGATTCTGCATTTTGTTATTGTTTACGTGGAGTCGCCGCACACGTCGCTTGTCGGAACTGCCGCAATTTTCGACTGTTTAAGCCCCATAAATAAAACATTGTCTATTCAAAACTCGCTCACACAAGTCTCTGGCCCGACCCCAACGCCCACTCTCCCTTTTCTCCCTTTGTGTGTGTGTGCAACTATATTTAGCTCTTTATTTTATCATTGAATTGCGCTTGACAAAGTAAAACGTTCTTTTCTTTTCTCTTTCCTTTTTTTTTTTTTTGTCAACTAATTGTGTTTATTTTCAATTCAGACTTAGACTAAAGCCCCGTTTAATTTCATATGGTCTCGTAGGCCGCCCCCAATCAATAACCTAACGGACTATTCCGAGCGTCGATGAGCGTGTCACTCTCCCACTCTCTCTTTCTCTTTCTCTGTGTGCATCTGTCCGTGCGTGTGTGTGTGTGTGTGGGGGTGTGTGAAAAGTTTTGTCAGCAGCCGGAAATGGGTAAAAATATGATTAGAGAGACAACAACCCGGCAAAAATTTCCAGCAAATTTCCCGCAAATTGAATTTGTTTCATTAACTGGCAAAGGGTTTTTTTTTTTTTTTATTATTATTATTATTATTTTCACAGCAGCCGCGTCGCATCGTGCTGGCAAATCTAAATAATTTAATTGCCATTTGTAATATTGTTAATTATAATAATGTCCGTTATTTTGTTAATATTGAAAGCATCGCATGAGCTAAGCAATTTGTTGGCACAAGACCATCATCAAATGCAGAAAACAATAAAACAGAGCTGGCGAGAAAGATATGGCAAAGAGATAAACGACAAAGATCCATGGGAATAATTATGGCTAAAGTTCCAAGCCAACAACAGAATCATGATCTATAGCCCCATTTAGTTCAAGCTGAGATCAAGAAAGTTCCACACATATATATATATTATATAAACTTATTTATAAACTTCAATCTGGTGTGCTGGTATTTTTTTTTCCAGATTTGCGATAAGCTGGCTGGCTCGCTCAGTCAAGCATAACAATATATATACGATTCTTGGCTCTAGCTCCAATCTCGGTGATTATGCATAAAGAATAAAGAAAAAATTCAAATAAACTAGAAATTTCGTCGAACTTGGCTAAATTAATATAGCTGGCTAGCTAGCTATTCATGCATGCCCATTAGCCAAGTGACAATTGTCTATCCGCTGGCTAGTTAATATGCTAGCTCACGACACTTCCTGGTAGTGTGACACTCAGTTAAGGTCATCACACACACACACACACACACATCCCCACCCCATCCCATTAAGAGACCCAAAAGAGCAGCGCATCGATCGACGTGCGCTGTAATAGCTTTGTACTCGTTTTTTATTTACTTTTCGTTTGGGGTTCAATGCACGTTTGCTTAGAGTCGGCTCATTGGCATTGATGGCACCACTGTTCGGCTGGCTGGCTGGCTGGCTGGCTGGCTGGATGGGTAAAAGTAACTGTAGAGTTAGCCCCTACTAGGCATGCCAGTATTATGCATATCAAATCTGGTAAAACATGCCAATTACTCAATGACTTTGGAGCCAAAGACAGCTCCACTCGTTGGGTAATTTAAATAAATACGAATTTTTACGTGAATTGGTATAAAAAAGAAGCGAATATTTCAGGGCTGCCAACCGGTTAGCATTAATTGCATTCGTTGAATGAATTGCATATACTTAATAATTGATTAATGGTTCGCAGCCTAAGGCTTTGTCTAATTCGAATCAATCGGATAAATTAATCATTCTTGGTTATTGCATTTTTGACATCAAGTAGATGACGATCGCAGAGAGTTCAACTTCGTTCAAAGCCCTTCTTTGCGATTCTCATTAAAATTACTTTGCATTGTAATTGTTGGTATTGAGTTGAGTTTTAGATGGCTCCACAAAATTCCTAATATATAAATTAATAAATATCAATTATAAATCAAATTGAAGGCTGTTCATATTTAATACTTGTTAAAAAAAAAACAAAAATATTTAAAATATAATTGACTGATAATTGATCTACATATATTTATTTTCCATATTTCCAACTGATTATAATAATACAAAAAGAGACATAAATAAATAAATAACAGTCATTAGAACAGTGTAATTAAATGGGTTGCTGGGATGCTAATTGTGGGCAAGTTTAGAAGTTGTGACAAAGTTGTAAGCCACTGGGCTTGGAGTATATATTTATTTAATGTGCAAATTTGAATAGAGAGAAATTACTCTCGGCACCAAATTGAGTTTCACTTTAACGCCCTTAATTTTTATTATAAATACCACTGAAGATCATATCTCTAACTACAGTTGCAGCAATTACTAGACTACTTAACGGAGCTCAGCCAATCAGTTGCGATCAACAGATTTGATTTAAATGCAAAATGAAAAAAATAAATAAAACAAAAATTCGGCTAGTCAACTAAAAGAAAAAAACTGTATATATACCTATATAAACAGCTTAGCTGCAATTAAGCCAATTTAAACGACGACACTTTTAGGAGCGGGACAATGCATGATAATGAACTTTGTCATCCATACACACACATTTTTTGTATACCCTGAATCCATTGAAAATGGAAAATTAGGGTATAATAATTTTGGGAAAAGCTGTGTAGCCGGCAGGAGGCGTGGCAGACACGATAAGGTACTGTGGACCTACTGTGTAACTATACCTTGGGACGAATAGGAATAAAAAATTTGTAATTTACAGATTTGCAATTTCGCTCAAAATTCGGACAAAAATACCTATCTTAAGTACTAGAATTTAGTTCTTTGGAATATATGCAAACAATTATTATTAAATTATGAAAGCTTAATGGGGACGAATAGGAATAAAATGTTTGTAATTTACAGATTTTGGATACAACGTGCCCTTCGCCCAAAATTCGAGAAAAAAACCTATCTTAAGTACTATACAAACATTATTAATTAATTATTATTATTAAATTTTATTCAACAAATAAGTTCCCATAGTTTTGCCCAAGCTCATTCGCTGCCAACTCAGCTCAGTCAGCTCTTTCTGCAGGGCTCAGGGGATCTTCTAGTCGAGCAGTCTCGGCTCTTACTTGTTATATACAAATGTATTTATATACGGCGAAAATGCTCACGCATAGGTATATGCATGCATGTGTGTATGTGTGTGTGTGCCCACATGCTAGTCCCACAAATAGTACGGCTATAATTAACCCAAGCTCGACTTTAGTTGTCTTTGGGCGGCAGTGGCGTCAGCTACGGAAGTTGAAGATTAAAACAGCCAGCGATGCACTTTGTGGGTCGCTAAAGCTCTCTCCCTCTCTGCGCGTGTGTATGCATGTGCGTGTGTGTATGTATGTGCGTGTGTGTTTGTGTGTGTGTGTGTGTGTACGACTGTCAAGGTCAATTAGCTTTGTTATTTTTATTTTTTTAATTTCTGTCACTTTTAATGGATGCTAATACAAAGAGTCGTGGCTAAGCAAAGGTTTTAAATACATACATATGTATAACAAATAGTATATGAAATAAATCGCATACATGGATCGTGGATCTCATACTCATATGCCACATATACCCCATGATACTTAGCAAAGCTTGGCTAAAAATCAGAAATTTCAATTTTGTTTGTTCATGAATTTTTGCGTTATGAATTAAAAAAAAAATGGAATTATAAAAATCCCCAATAAAAATCGCTGAAAAAATATATGAGTTATTTTTTCGGCAATAAAAATATTAAAATTAGTTGATATGATAAAAATAAAAAATTCTTTATTACTCATTAATCAAATAATAATTTCTATACAAATTTTATACAAATCACAGAAATTATTTTTTTGTTCTACAATAATTATACTCGTAACGGTTTCTGATTATAACGCTATAACGTGAATATCATATGAAACATCATAGATTATAATAAAACACACGTAAAGCAATAAAGTAAACAAAAACTTTCCATTTCCACATTATTTATGCCAACATAAGCCAACAAACAAAAAACAAGTAAGAAAGTTGCAGTTGGGCAACTGCATAATAATACTCTTTCACCGTTTTAAAATCGCTTAAAGTATTCATAAATCAAATTTACGGACTTCCCGCATATACATATGTACATACATATACATATCTATGTATATTTGCTCGGATCGGATGGATGTCTTTGGGCGACAAATCTTGCTGCAATTGCACATTCCTTTGCGTATTGCTTCAATTAGTACTATGAATCTAAAAAAAATAGTGTTTAGTATGGCAAAAGTTCTGTTTAAGCTGGGCTTGGAATATAATTGATGATAATTGCTGTCTCTTGGAGGGACTACGAAATAAATATGTGTATAAATAAAATGTATATATGAATATAAATACACAAGTATACATATATACATTTCCCAAAGCCAGTTTTAAAATGTTAAGCAAAAAATATTTCAAGATGAGCTAAAGAAATGTTGATTTTTTTTATTATGTCGAATAATTTGTGTAGACCCATTTTGAAGCGTTCCCAAATTAATCGCATTAGATTTAACTTTGTTACGTTCAAATAAATAAATAAATTAAGTTAATTGAGGTGCTCAGCCGATATAAATTGCGTCCGATTACAATTGAAACTTTTTGTGCAACTTGTAAATGTAAATAATAATATATGTGTGTGTGTGTACATATATAAAGTGCGATAAGGCAGATTATTATTAAATAAATATATTCATTTTATGGAGTCGCATTAAATTCTTGAAGTTTTTACCTATCATGTGATTGCCCGAATTTACTCCAAAATACCCGAACTAATTGAAGTAAAAATTGCGTTTGGCAGTGTGAACCGAGTGAAAGAGGGGCACGAAAATCGGGTGGAAAACCCCGCTTGTTTCCGCCAATGTCTTTAACTGCGAAATGAGATGGTAAACACGCGCCCAGATAACAATGCAGACAATCAAGTGACACAAATGTAATTAGGTTTCAATTACTTTGTCATTTGATGGGAATTCTCGGAGTGCACATCGCCGCGAGAAGAAAAGAAGGGAGAGCACTTTATCGACTGCCGGAGCAGGTGCACAGCGGTACAGACAGTAATTGACAATGATAATTGTTACTGATAAAGCCGAGTGCACAGCAGCCAGTCGGCCGCCTGCCAACGACAACAACCAGTCGAGGAAGAAGAAGTGCGTGGTACAGCCTCCAGCTGAACATGGTATTCAATGCTGAAGTCGACGCCGACGCCGACGCTGATGCTGATGCTGACGTCGACATTGACATAGACGTTAGCTTTGACGTTGATGTCAGCGTGCCGCTTGATTGACACTCGGCGTACTACCAGGAAGAGCGGAAAACAAAGGCCGTACAACATGCAACGGGGCAAAGCCGTAAGATGAAAGCCGCGAGCCCAAAATCAAAATCAAAATCAAAATAGAAATAAATCAAATACAAACGAAAAAAAAAAATACTTTCGCTAACGATCTCTCACAGGCAAATAATCCAATCAGAACAAGTGGGAGATGCGCACAAAAATAGAATGACAGCAAAATGTGACAGCGGCAGCGGCGGCGGCGGCGACAAGTGAAGCTTGAGTGCCCCCGCTGGGCACCATTAATACTTATGTAGTTAAGTGGAAATTAGAGAACAGCCTCAACTAGCGATCACAACAGACGGCTTGCTGAATGATCGATTACAGTATGCCCTGATGCGATTGTGGATTCTGTGGAATGTGTGCGTGAGCCGTATTCAGCGGCAGATCTTAAAGAGAAACAGCCTAAGAGAGAGAGAGAGCTGCATATCAAATATCAGCAATGTGCATATATCGTGCATATATTGGCGAATTCGAGCCTGATTTCCATTTGAATATTGAAAGCAAGTTATAAGACTTATAAGAACTTTGCATTTTTAACTCGTTCACGATGTGAAACAGGTCTATAAAATTTAAGCAATATTTGCATTACGTGCCGTCCGACTGTCTCACTCTCTTGGGGATTGACATTTAGCATATTTACTCGTCTGTAAAGTGTCTAGATTTTTTCTTGCTTTTTTTTTTTTGATAGGGCTCTCTGGGGGCGTAACAAGTCGGGAATTACTTTTTGTCATGCAAGCTTAGGCCCCATTATTTGGGGTGCTATTAAATCTAAAAATTCACCTTTAAATATATAGCAAGCTTTTTATGCATTCTAATGACTTTTTAAGTTGTTTTAATTTATGATTTATGAACAAAAAGTAACCAAATTAAATAAAAATCATATTAACCGAATAAATTAGGCTTACAACAATTTTTGTTTTTAAATTGAAACATGGAAGTAAATAAAGTTTAATGATTTAATTTCAATAGATTAAAATGCTAACAAAAAAATGTGTATATAATTTTGAATCTAAAAAATAAATAAATAGAATAGGTTATTTATAAAATGCAACAAAATAACTTTTTTTAAAGCCCAAAGATTTAATTAAATCAAAGTTAATGATTTAATTTCATAAAACAAAATTGTTGGCACATTTGTTGGCCACAAAAAAAAAATAAATAATAATTAAATACAGAAAAATTAACTAAATAGATTAGGGTACTTACCAAAATCAAAACAACTATTAAATATCATTAAATAAAATAATTGGCAAAAAAAAAAAATTATAAAAAAAATAATAATAAAATATATGAAATAATAAATATAACAAAAAAGTGAGTAAAAACTATAATTTAAATGTTGTATGAAATCCTTTAGAGGCTAATAAGCGGCCTGGCATAATGTTCATTTACCTCTTCCCGAAATATCTGCCCCTCTACAGTGAGAGCTTTCCTTAAGGCGATTATTTTACTATTATAGGAAGAATTTCATAGGTACACTGCAGTAGAACCTAATGATTTAGCAAGAGAATTACTGTCGACCATTTTAACTATACTGACTTCAAATTACCCATTCCTGGCTTTGTAGCGTCGGCACATCTATGCATGATCAGCTATAAAGCTATTGCAGCATAACATATAAATTAAAGTAAATTAGTTGTTAAATTACATACATACACCAAGAGACAAAAAGTATTAATTAAATTAAAGTGCACAATGAGCATTTTGAGACATGTTTCTACGTGATTCGTTCGACTATTTCTGTGTCGATCGGTTTATATGGTTATCTGTGTTATTTCTTTCAATTTTATGGCCTTTGCTACAATCGCTTCTTTTTGCAGCTGGCAGCAAAACAGTTTCAATAGCTTTTTCAGAACAAAGACAAGTAAGAATGTTGCAGTCGAACGTGATCGTTAGCCACATGCTTGCTCATGATCTCAAAATCAAAATTCATATATGCAGATTTCCCATACCCCCATTTTTGGAGCAGGTAATCTTCCAGAAATTTGTCAAATTTAGGTTAAGGACTCTGTTTTATTTATTTATTTATTTTTTTAATTTTTTTAATTTTTTTATTTGACGGGATTGTACTTTGCTCCTACTCACTTTAACTTCAAGAACTACAGAGTCAAACGGAGCAAAAGGCCAGCAAGCCAATATGCTCCCTTCACTTGGTGAATGTGTATAAAGAAATAAACAATTTATATTTATAAATGTCACGATCACTTGTCTTATGTACACTTAATTAGCTATAAAGGCACAATTCAGTTGCTTTGTACACAATAATACAATAATGCATATGTCTATATATAAGAATGTATATACACATATATTATATTCACATAATATATATACTTTCATATAATGTCTTGATTAAATGCCCCAGACAATCTGTTTCAATGGAAAAAGCAAGAAAATAGCAGAAGCAAATGCAAAACTGTTTTCTGTTTTATTGTTGATATAAGGTTGATAATTGATTCGATTTACGATATTGAATGGCTTATTAATCAGTAAGCAGATTTTGATGAACTGCGATATGGTTAGTTTTAATTTACCGTTTATACACAATAAGCTGTTGTCTCTACTAAAAACAAAGCCCTGCTCTAGCTGCTCGCATCAAATGTTATTAATAGATTCGAATTACCATAGCAAATGACTATCTATATATTTTATATGATATTTATTTAGTTTATTTTAATTAGATATTTTTTTATTTCACATTATCTGCCTTCCACATTCAAATAAAGCTCTTCTATGTGCTTCTCATATTTAAATTATTACACAAATTCATCTTAAATTTCCAGTTTCTCTTGTAGAATATTTATTGCATTTTTCTCTTAAAAATTGCCCTTCTATGCAATTCTCAAGCATACCAATTCTTAATTACTTTATTTACATTCTCAATTTCGCCCCTTTAGACTTGAAGATGTCACCCAAGGACGGCGGCGCCATTGACCCGCCGAAGCACACCAATAAATATACGATTAGCCATCCCGCAATGAGTACGGCCACGCAGTTGGGCCAGGAGAAGGCTGCCGATGGGAAGACAGAAACGCCCAAAGCTGAGCGCACCTGGCGCGAAAAGCTGCGCCTGGTGGCCAACAATATCACCGTGGAGCCCATACTAGCCGCATACATAATGCCCAGCGTGCTCTCGAATCTGGCCACACAGAATCTGAACTTGGAGAAGGCGTGCCGCGTGAACATGGCCTACGGGGATGAGATCTGCGATGCGCTAACTCGCCGTCAGACGGCCAACTATACGCTGTGAGTGCAACTGATGCGAGTATTGGATAATTTCAATTGATAACTCTCTCTCTCTCTCTAATTGACAGCGAGGAGGAGACAGTGCAACAGATGGTCGCCCGTATGGCTGCATGGAAGACGGTGATTCAGTCGCTCTTCCCCTGCCTGCTGATCCTGTTCTGGGGCTCCTGGAGCGATCGCCATCGCCGTCGCAAGCCCTGCATCCTCATACCGGTGGTGGGGGAATTTCTCGGCGTTGTCGGCCTCATGCTCTGTGTCTACTTCGAGAACGCACCCATGGAGGCAGCCGCACTCACCGAGGCCATCTTTCCCTCGCTCAGCGGCGGCTGGTTCACCATGCTGATGGGCGTCTTCAGCTACATTGCGGACATAACCACCGAGGAGGAGCGCACTCTGCGCATTGGCATCCTCAACGTCTGCTTCTCGGTGGGCGTGCCCATTGGCATGGCCTTCAGTGGTGTGCTGCTCAAGTAAGTGCTCGACCCGAGCAGAGCCACTCCCCAGCATTGACTAATTATGCTCTCAATGATCATTCGATCTCCAGGCAAATTGGCTTCTATGGCGTGTTTTCCATTTCGGCGGCCTTCTATGTGCTGGCCTTTGTCTATGGCATGTTCTTCCTGGAGGAGCCGGTGGCGCGGCCGGAGAAGTCGGCGCAACAGAAGAGTCTGCTGGCGGACTTCTTTGACAAGGAGCACGTGGTGCAGACGTTCCGCGTGGCCTTCAAGAAGGGCGAAAACCAGCGGCGCCAGCGCGTCATCCTCCTGATGATCGTGGTGATGGTGATCATTGGCCCACTGCATGGCGAGATGGCGGTCACATATCTGTTCACCCGCTTTCGTTTCAACTGGTCGGAGGTGGAGTTCAGCTTCTTCTCGACCTATGCCATGTTCACGGGCCTCATCGGCGTCATCTTCTGTGTGGGCGTGCTGTCACACAAGCTGGAGATCGATGATGCTCTGGTCGGCGTGCTCTCTAGCACCTCCAAGATTCTGTCGTCGTTCGTCTACGCCTTCGCCACCCTGCCCTGGCACATGTATCTGGGCGGCCTGGTGGAGATCTTCAATGGAACGGCCTTCATAGCCATGCGCTCGATAGCCACCAAGCTGGTGTCCAAGGATGAGCTGGGCAAGGTCAATTCGCTGTTTGGCGTCGCCGAGGCCCTCATGCCCATGGTATTTGCGCCCATGTATACGACGCTGTACGCCGCCACGCTCCGGGTGCTGCCGGGCGCCTTCTTTCTGCTCGGCGGCGGTCTAACCATGTTCTCCGTGGGCATCTTTCTGTGAGTATTCCCCTCGCTTTCCCACTGCTCTTCATCTCTAATTTTGTCTATCTCTTCTCGCTCAGCTGGATGTATCGCTTCCAGGTGCGGCAACGTCGCAAGGGCAATGCCACGGACACGGAGCACGGCTCCGTGAAGGAAGCCAATGGCAACATAAATGCGATCGAGGCGCTGGCGCTGGCCAGCGAGGCCAAGGGCCAGTTGAATGGCATCATTGCCAATGTGATACACGAGTCCCTGGAGCACGCAGACTCTGCTCCCGCGGCAGCGACGGCGGCAGCGGCGATCCCGGCAGCGACGCGGCAGAATGGCATCGAGAATCACGCCTTTGTCCAGGATGCCCTGGATGCCAAGGCCAAGGATGCTTAGAGCGGCACTGCGGCATCGGGCCATCCAATTCTCCCGTCTGTTATATACATGCATACGTGTATATATGTATTTGTTGTATAATTATTCTGTACCTATATTTATTATGCTGGCCTGTAAGTTGAACTGTGAACGCCCCATGGAGATTATCTCCACGCGGCTTCAGATAGGTGAAGCAGGTCGCGTATTATCTGTACCTACGTATCGTACGATCTGTAAATGTTTTAGCTCTAAGTACCCAAAAAAAAACTTTTTTTTATTATTATCAATTGAATTTTCTATGCTATGGTTTTTTTTTTGTGCAATTTTTTTTTTTTTTTTTTTGTTAGATTTAAGTATTGTAAAAGTATTGAATAAATTTAATAACGTCCAATCGGAGGCTGACCTTTGATGGCGGAAGTGGCCGCAGGACATGTCCGAATACGGCCCGCCTATTTGACTATTGAACACTGTAATCAGTTTTTGTGGCTCCTGCACCACGGCAATTACACACACAAATAACATCGCCCAAAACCACCGAGTCCACCTGCACTGACACGGCTCTCCGAAATGTCCGGGCTGGGCTGGGCTGGCTGGCTGGCTGAGTGGGTGGGGGGGGGGGTGGTTAGACTGGATGACTGGATGACTGGATGACTGCATGGCCTATCGCACACTTCCTGCACGCAGAACAGCGAGCAACGGCCGCACAATTGGTTTGCTCATGTCGCTGATAATTGTCGTTTGTGTTGCATAAAACGGATGCGTGATATTTACATTGTCTGGGCATAGTCGCTATAGAGAGAGGTTTGTATCGAACAGGTAGTTGCAGCAGGTCTAAATCTAAAATAGCTGTAATTATTACCCTTAAACATCGATAGCCAGACTTTGTTTGTTTGTCTCATGTTTCAATATTTGTGTGCCACAGAAAGTGAGTAATTTCCTAGAAAAATAGTAAAGTATTTGAATATAGACAAAAATATATTATTTAGTTAGATATATTTTAAGTTTTGTTACTCATGATACTAGATTTTTGAGACATTTAACTATTTTCGCTCAAGTTGGTTATTGTTAATATTTTTGAAAATTTTACTTTGTTTTTTTTTTTTTATTTATTTATTTTTTTATAATTCAATAATATGAGAATATAATATAAATAATATTTTTTTGTCATTGATTTGTTTCCAAAATTTCGATTGTCAACGCTGTTTTTTTTTTCTAAATAGACCCTTTGCCATATCTCGGTTTATCTTTGGAGATACTTTTTGTTTTAAGTATTGGGATAAGTATTTACAGTTGAACTATATGTAATAATACTTGAAAAAAAAAAAAAATAAATAAATAAAAGAAAATAACAAAAACTTAGTTTTAATATTAAGCAAGGAATGGATTGCTGTTTCTCTTATATAGATTTCATCTAGATTAAATTTCCAGAGGCTAAGGTTAAGTTTATTGAATAATTTTTTTTTTCTGAAAACAATTTAAAGCTTGTGTATAAGAACTATAAACTGCTCTCGAATATGCAGTAAGAGCATTAAGTATTCGCATATCTGCTTGCTTGCTGTGATGTTGCTATCGCAATTGCCATTTGGCGACCGCATGCGACACACACTGCACTTGACAGTCTCGTGGGCTGCAGGATGAGGGCGACTGATAGGCGTGGCGGGCGCCCAATGTTGCCCCAACGGCGCTCGCTGCCTTTAATTACTTTTTCGATATCGACGACTATGGCCGTTGGATGCGTACGCCCACCTGGGCACGCCCACATGCAGCTGGCGCCACCTCGATCAGATCGGCGCAATGGGCAAAGGCAACGACAGCAACAACGGCAAAGGCGAAGGTAAAGGCAGGCGAGAAACTCACCAAACAGCATCCACAAACATGTTGCCCGCAACAATGCTGACAGCAGCATGTTGCTAGGGCATCGATGTTGCGAGGCGCTGAAATTTGATAGCTGCGTCGGTTGCTTTTCTGACCCATAAATAATTGGAGTAAACAATGCGCAAAGCGACAGGGAAAACGAATTGGAATTGGAATTGGAATCGGTGTTCGGGCAACCAGAATCGGAGATGGAGATGGCGATGGAGCCGTAATCGTAGCCAGAGCCGTAGCCAGAGCTTCACTAACTGGGCCATAAATCTATGGCGAGCTGCATTTAATCTGGCTTAAACACGCATTTTCTTGACAATTTCACAGTAAAACTCTCCCAGTCCAAACATGGCCCGAAATGAATTGAGCCTGCAGCGAACTGACAGGCCGACAACGAGCCGAGCATAATTAATATGCGATTTTCGTCTGGCCAACGACGACTAGGCCAACTATAAATTCACAAATGATAACAGTAAATCAAATTCAAATGCAAACGCTGGGCAAACAAGGCCCTCGCTCCTCGCTCCACGCTCCTGCCAGCTGGCCTTATAAATGAAGTGCCCGGCTCAGGGCGATTCAATGCGTGGCATCAAACGAGTTAATGAAGCGTAAGTTGGGGAGCTCACAAAAAATATTTATATAAAAAAAATTTGAAAAATAAAATGAAAAAAAAAAGAAAATTGTAGCCGACAACCACAAAGCAAAAGCCCGAGCCTGGGGCTTGGGGCTTCTTGAGCTGCTCAATCTTCTAGGGAATGGCATGTCGAACGTGGCGGAAAAGTCAAGCGATTTGACCGTTAAATTCCGTTATGCTACAAAGGGTGGCTGCAGGTTGGATGGAGAGATGCTCGACAGAGTTGAGAGCTGAAAGCTGTGGGCTCTGCGGGCTGTGAGCTGTGAGCTCTGAGCTGCCCCTTGGCAGCAGGAAGCAACTCAACTGGCTGGCTAAGTAGTGGGCGGGGGCTCTACGCACACACCCCCCCACACATACACCCACTCACAAACACACACACACACATATGCTGCCACCGGCGGAAGCTTATTTTGTCTCTTGACCTCATTCCTGGCTTTCTGTTCTGCCACTTCCTCTTCCTCTTCCTCTTCCACTTCCGCTTTCGCCCGCTGCCAAATGGCAAATGCCAAATGCTAAGTAGTTTCGCTTTTAGTGCCAAATACTCTATTTGCCATTGTTGTTGCTGTTGTTGTTGGTGTCCTCTTACATATTTGCTTGACTTTGATATTTGCTGGAAGGCCACTTGGACCACTCATTTTGTGTTTGTATTTTGAAAGGAGAAAAAAAGTGAAGACAAGAAAGCAAATTTGCCATACTTCTGTGTGAAGTTTTCGTCAAACTCTGCCACACGATAATAGAGAAGTTTATTATAGCTATTTATTATTTTGATGCTTGTTTAATTTTTATTTTTGTTTTTTATAAATATAATATATAAGTATATATTATGTATATAATATGTTATATTTGTTTTTTCTTTTGGACAATAATTTTATTTTTTATAGGCAAATCTAGTCGAAATTACTTGTTTTAAATGTATTTTAAATTATTAAAATTAATTTACTAGATAAAAATAATAATCCACTATTAATCATCAATTGATTATTGATTATTTGATGGTTTTTATATGAATATAAATAAATTTGAATAATTCAATAATGCTTACATTTAGATTTTTTATTAATATCCTATATTTTTTACGGTATATTATAATATTATTATATGTATATGTGATATATAAATATTTTCTTAAATGCCTTAGAATTAAAAGAAAAATAAATTAAAAGAAAAATAAAATCAAATAAAAAAATAAAATAAAATAAAATAAAATAAAATACACAAAAGAAAAGAAAATAATATATAATAAAATAAAATATAACAAAATAAAATAAAATAAAATAAAATAAAATACACCAAAAAACTTAAAACAATTTTCATTTCAATAAAAAATTTTAAAGCCTCAAAGACACGCCTCTGTGGAAGAAAGTGAAATAGAAAGTAATTAAGATATTAGATCTAGTTAATGCAGTATTCAAATAGTCAGACATAGCTAGATCTCTTTATTGCGCTTGCCACGCCTACCTCATGTCTGTTACAAACACTTTCCCAAAGGAAAAGAAAAATACAAACCAAAAACAAAAAAAAACAAGAAATCCGAAATGAAATTGAGCTGTAAATGCTGAGCGCTTAAAAAAGAGGAATATTGATTTCCCCATCTGAAAGCGTCTGGTCAAGGTGCACAGTCATCGCCGGATTTTAGCCAAGTTCTTGTGTATTGAATACGAATTTGTACTAAAATCATATTTCAGTCCGAGTTGTCTGGCAAAAAGTAACCGAAATCATATTTCAGCTGAGCTTGCAAAATTGCAAACTTAAATTAACAAATTAGTCAATTAGTTTGGCCACAACTAAACAGGCCCCGTGGGCCCAGGGAATCCGATGCGAATTTATATATATTATATTTATATATATATGTGTGTGTGTGTCTGCGTGTCTATGAATTTATGTGCATTTCCCAGTTTATTATGGCTCAGCATTTCTGTGTGTGCTTGGTCTGCCTTTTGGGCTTATTTATTTGCCGTGTTTGCATTTTTAGTTTCAATTAATTTTGCGAAAAATTGTTTTCTCTCGCCTTGGCCAACAGCATTTTTTGGTCGAAAATATTATTTTTTGGTTTAATGCAGCTTGCAGCAGCCGTCTCCTGCTGCCGTTGCTGCTCCTGCTGCTGCTGCTGCTGCTGCTGCTGTGAATGTTTGGTTGTGTTATGTATTTCTAATGAGCCCTGTGGCTGCCACAAAGCCCCTACACACACATACACATAAATACACATGTATTGTAGTGTGTGCGTGTGTGTAATTTATTTCATTTAAATGATTTATTTATTTTGTTCATTGCCTTTTGCAACTGCTCTCGCTGGCCGTGGCTGCCTTGGCCCCGGCTCACGCCCACGCCCACGCCCACGCCCCAAGCCCCCTTTGCATACACGATGCTGACGCTGGCATCCTTGGCCAGGACTCGTCTCCGTTTTGGGCGCATTGTTGTGGTTGTTGCTGCTGCTGCTGCTGCTGCTGTTGTTGTTGTTAAATTGCTTCTGGCATTTGATTTGTACATCATTTTTAACGAAGCATAAAGTTTTATATGGCAACAGCAACAGGATAGCAGTGGCAGCCACATCCTTGTTGTTGTAGCTCTTGACTTTGGCCTCTGCGGTTAAGCTATGCGTATGCATGTGTGTGTGTGTGTGTGTGTGTGTGTGTATGGGCGTCTCTTAATGAACAAAAAAGTGGCATGCAGATATTTTCTCGTTTATTTCATTTGCCAGAACAAAAAGAGCGAGAGGGCGGGCGGGGCGAGTTTTGGGGCCCCCCAAGAACTGTTGAGCTGCCATTCTG